CTGTTAAGTGAACCTGGCTTCGTGATCACGTGACTCCGGGACACTGCAACCTGCCCTAAATACGAATCGGTTCCCAAGCATTTTGAATTTTGATCATGGGACCGTTGGGATGCTACAAGTGTGAGAAAAGGTCATCGGTCACTTTTTTCACACCTGTTGTAACTTTGAATGGACACTAAATGAATAGTTGTAATTAGAGGACGACCTGTACTTGGGAAAATTCTCCCTCCCTCCCTTTCTTCTGTCTTTCCTCCCTCCCTTCTTTCCTCTTTCCCTCCCTCCCTCCCTCCTTTCCTTTCCCTTACTCTCTCCTTTCCTCTTTTCTTGCTTCCCTCCCTCCTTTCCTTTTTCCCTCCCTCCCTGCCTCTTTCCCTCCTCCCTCCTTTCCTCACTCCCTCCTTTCCTTTCCCTTACTCCCTCCATCTCTTTCCATCCTTCCCTCCCTCCTTTCCTCCCTCCCTCCTTTCTCCCTCCCTCCTTTCCTTTCCCTTACTCCCCCCTGTCCTCTTTCCTTCCTTCCCTCCCTCCTTTCCTTCTTCCCTCTCCCTTCTTTCCTCACTCCCACCCTTCCTTCTTCCCTCCCTCCCTGCCTCTTTCCCTCCTCCCTCCCTTCTTTCTTTCCTCCCTTCTTCTTGAATAAATACTTTGTTTTAACCCGAGACTGGAAACAAAACTGCCTACCGGGCGGCCAAGGGGCGAGGTCAGTGGCATCCCCGGGTCACGCGTGGCCGCCTGCAGCTCCTCCACTCCGCCCCCTGACTCCCGTGTCCGGCACGCATACCGCCCCTCAGGGTCTTGGCCAGGGCAGCCGCCTCCCTCCCGGCCTCCCTCCCTCCGAAGGGGAAGCTGCGGGAGGGCGCGCAACACAGCGAAGCAAATTGGCCCCCCCCCCCCCCCCCCCAGAGGGCCTGGGACCCTGGCCCGCCCCCCTTCCCCCCCCTTCAACCCCGTATCACGCAGGCGCGCCTCGCCTCGCCTCGCCTTTCTCGGCCCCGCCCCCGCCCCTGCCGGCAGCTCTTCGCTTTCGTTTCCCGCTGGCCCGGCGCGAGCGGCTCGACGGAGGCGGCCGAGCGAGCGAGGATGGCGGACCCGGCGGTGTGCAGCTACCTGACCAAGGTGCTGTGTTCGCGGGGCGGCTGCGTGCGCCTCTCCGAGCTGCCCGACGAGATGGGGCTGTCCCTGAGCCAGCTGCGGCAGGTCTTGGAGGACGCCGGGCAGGCGCGCTTTCTGTCGGCCCGGAGAGGGAGCGACCTCTGCGTGCTGGCCGTCTCGCCCGTCCGCCTCTGCGTCCGCCAGGTCTGCATGGGCTGCGAGCGGCTGCACCTCTGCAAGCTGAACCTCCGCGGGAGATGCCGAGTCAAGTGAGTCGGGGCGGCGGAGCATCCGCTCTTCGCCCGAAAAGCAGCGGGCGCCTTTTGGAATGGGACACTAGTCCTCAGGACGCCGGGCTAACTTGTGGCAAGTCGAGCCGGGGATGGGGCGGGGGGAAGGTTTGGGCAGGAAAAAGTGGGGGAGGGCGAGAGGCACAGTCGGGAAGGTCGCCGTGGGATTAAGTGTCTTGGATCAAGCGGGGCTCCGAGATATGGGAAGTGGGGGGAAATATAAAGGGGGTAAAGGGGTGAACAACCTCGCTTAAGAAGAAAAAATGAAAACTTGTGTCCCTCTCTTTAACTGCAGCCGGAGAGTCTTATTTCTAAGCAAAAAAAAAAACACTTTTAAAAATCGTCTTATAAGTAATCAGAAAGTTGGGTCGACTTGCCAAGTCTTAATTCTGAAATCGTTTTTTGTTGCTGTTATGGCTTTATTTAATTCACAGTTTCCACTTAATTTCATTCCCACATGAGTCTCATCAGGAGGCCGGCTGCTTTTCAAGGACCTGTTGAACTTCTTTGAGAAAGGAGCCTCCTAAAATAAAACCCCATAAAATGGGCATTAATTCCTCAATTGATCCTACTGGTTGGTTTCCACCTGTACCGACTTTAAAAAAAAAAACATTTTCCAAATACAGACCCAAATCCCAACATGGAACTGTCTGTGCTCTGAACAAATGTTCAGAACAAATGGGGGGCAGAAATGGCTTTCTGAGAATGTGCAGTGAATTAAAATGGTGCTGAGTACACAGAAACGAATTTTCCCCCGGCCTGTGCTTGACCTTGTTTTCAAAGGAACAAGAATTTGTGTTAAGATCCAAGGTCAGCAGATCTAAAAATTTGGGGTAAAAGTAGTTTTTTTTCTTTTTAATTTTAAATGTAGTTTGTGTGTGTGTGTGTGTCTATTTCTATCTACCTATCAATCTATACCTACCTATCTCTACTATCTATCTATCTATCTATCTATCTATCTGCCCATCTCATATGCATGACTGGGCAGTTAACAATTAAAATAAGGAACCGAGTGAAAATTAATTAGCCGAATGCCGCTTATAAAAATGGCTGTCTTAAATCTTCAAATGGAGAATTGGATGGTCTGATTATTCAACAGATCAAAATGTTGTGAAACGGTTCAGGGAAGTGGCTTACGATTTAATTTGAAGATCTCCCAAGTCAGTTTCCTGGTGGAGATCTAGTTGCTTCAATGATGAATGAAGTCCTGTAGAAAACTATTGTTCTAAAAATAGATCCATTATAATTCAAGCTTTCAATATAGCAAACATTTCTTTCGTGGAAAGAGTAATGCAGCTTTTTCTGTGCGGTTTAGAGTTATATTCTAGAAGAACCATGGCAACTTTAAGATGGATGGACTTCAACTCCCAGTCTTCCCCCTCTTTTATTTCTACTAATAATTGAAAGTGGTTAGCATATCCAATATACCTTCCTCCTCCTATTTTTCCCACAACAGCCCTGTGAGGTGGGTTGGGCTGAGAGAGAGTGACTGACCCAAAGTCAACCATTCGACTTTCATGGCTAAAGCAGGATTACAATTCATAGTCTCCTGCTTTTTATCCTGGTGCCTTAACCACTAGACCAGGGGTCTCCAACCGTGGCAACTTTAAGACTTGTGGACTTCAACTCCCAGAGTTCATCAGCCAGTTTTGCTGGCTGGAGGGACTCTGGGAGTTGAAGTCCACAAGTCTTAAAGTTGCCAAGGTTGGAGACCCCTGCACTAGACCAAATTGACTCTTCAGAGCAAAGGTCTTCAAACGTGGCAAGTGTAAGACTTGTGGACTTCAACTCCCAGAATTCCTGTGCTAACATGACTGGAGGAGGAATTCTGGGAGTTGAAGTCCACAACTCTTAAAGCTGTCAAGTTTGAAGACCCCCTGCCTTAGAGACCAGTTTGTGTTAATCTGACTTACATCAGTTGTGAATTTCTCAGTCCTCCTATGGCCTGATTTTTATTCATTGCCCAATAGATTTGTATTCTGGGATTTTTCACTAAGAGTAGAAAAATATGTTTTCTGAAT